AATATATATGAGAACGCCACGTACATGAGCGTTTCAGACACAGAAAGGTAAAATGCAGTACATATACCATTCTGATCTAAGGAATGGATAGGGGCCTGAGGCTTCCAGGGACAGGAGGGTAGTTCACAGGATGAGCAGAAGAAGAGCAGATACTCGGGGGTTAGTGTTGTCTTGCCATACAGATGAAGCCAGGTAGGTAACATTTATCCTCAGTAGAAACTCTTCTCTGGGAAAAATCCCCAATTTAACTTCTCCAAGGTAGTTAAGGGAAGGGCAGTAGTTTCTTTTGAACTCTCAGGGTCTTAATTGCTTTCAGCTCAAAATAAGTACCTTGCAAACATGGCACATTTGGGGAAGGCTCACTCTGAAGCCCTGCAGTTGTTTCCTAGGATCACAGGCCAAGTGCTCAGCACAGCTTGACTCACTAGGATATGGTCATGACATTTTTCGGGGGACTGTCTTGCATCTATCCTTCCTTCCTCTGTGTGTGGGATCACTTTTTTGAGTATGGTAATTGTGGGGGCACTTCAGCACCCAGGGAGGATATCCATCTTGTACTCTCATTGGCTCCAGACTGACCAATCCGGGGCACTCATCTGATTGATGTGATCAAGTGACATTAAGATAAGAAGTTTTTGGGGGGACTGTCTTGCATCTATCCTTCCTTCCTCTGTGTGTGGGATCACTTTTTTGAGTATGGTAATTGTGGGGGCACCTCAGCACCCAGGGAGGATATCCATCCTGTACCCTCATTGGCTCCAGACTGACCAGTCCGGGGCACTCATCTGATTGATGTGATCAAGTGACATTAAAATGAGAAGTTGCATCTCTCCAGGTGCTTGAGGGAGTCTCATAGGGGCAGTGGGTCTCCCAGGGAGGACATGGGCATCCTTGGGTAGACCTGTCCCTGCTAAAAGATGTCTGCTATACCACCTCCTCACTGAACTCTCAGAACTGGCTTGGTTCTTGCTTGACTTTCAAACCTGATTTTCTGACCTCTAGTCAAGTCTGATGTCTCTGATATCCTCCGGTAAAGTGCCTGTGAAAAGAAAATTCTTCAGGTAGGCAGATGTCATTTAGCTTGTTTGAAAACAGTAAACAATAGATGACTGTCTCATTTTTTCTCCCCCGTCTCTCCACTTTTGTTTCTATGAATTGCTGTAGTCCTTCTTCCTCATGGGTCTTCCCGGTGGCTCAGATGGTAAAGAATCTACCTGCAACATGGGAGACCCAGGTGCCGTCCCTGGATTGGGAAGATGCCCCGGAGAAGGAAATGGTAACCCACTCCAGTATTCCTGCTTGGAGAATCCCCATGGACAGAGGAGCCTGGCAGGCTACAGTCTGTGGGGTCACAAAGAGTCAGATACGACTGAATGACTCAGCACAGCGTTTAAGAGTCCTTTGATTTATCTAAGTCACGTTCCTTAGGTTTCTAGCGCCAAAGTGTGCTGATTGTAATCTAAATGCTGTTTGCTGGCAGTTTTGAAGTCTACTTGAAATTTATGAAATGAATGAATGCTCTTTCATGAAAAATACCTGCCTGACCCAAGCTCCTCACTGTTGAGTCCAAGATGCACATGCATTCAGATCAGTCCTGTTACTGTCTGTCTGGAAGTATTCTTGGCTCTCTAACACAGCTTTTTTCTCTGTCTCTTTCTGTATCTCTCTGTGTGTCTCTGCCTCTTTCTCTTTAAGTTTACTTGTGACAGGCACTGTGTCAAATGTTCTTCCAACTATGGCACTGTTTTCTGGCTGCCTACCCAGTGTCCACTCTCTCCCTTACCCTGGGTAGCAGAATCTCTAAAATGCCTGGGTTAACAGACACGCACACATGCGTGCGCACACACACACACAGACACACCCCAGCTTCTCTTGCAGAAAGAACATATATTGACTTTTACATGGACATTGTTGGATGAGGCTTCCAAGGAGGTTATTTTGGGGAGCCTGACTCAGCTGTCAGGCTTCCTTTTGCCCTTTCCCCTTCCTTCTCCCTGTTTGGACATGAGTCAGCCTGCAGTTCTGGAAGCCATTTCGTGTCCATGGCGAAGTCCTGAGTCTGAAACTTATGTTAAGGACGCTGGAGCGGAAAATGAGAAGGCTTCAGGCCCGAGATGAAAACAGGGAGCTACCATACCAAACATAGGACGTCAAACTCAACTACCTTTGTGTTAACGGAGAAAAACAATCTGATTTTTTTTTTTTCTATCTCATTTGGGCCTCTACTGCTAGCTACTGAAAGTAGTTCTTTACCAGTACATAGATTATCATGCAAAAATCCTATAGAGTTTATACTATTAATCTTGTTTTACAAAATAGAGCCTTAGGCTAGTTGTAAAGCTTACCCAAGTTACTCATTCACTGGACAGTATTGGATTGACCATGTTGGATCATTATTGACCCTGGGTCCGATGGGTCAGCATTTGAATGTAGTGTCTGTTTGACAACAAAGGCTGAATTCCTAATGATTACATTATACTGCCCCTGAGTTGAACATGCCACCAGAATTGTAGACCAATACAACCCATGGGCCTCCTTGAGTAGGTGTGACTGCTTGAAGTTTTCTCATTGGAAAAGATGCTGTGGATCTTCTTTCTTCTCTCTCACAGCCTCTCCAGCAAAAGGGAAGTTTTTCAATTCTGAGTAAATTATCCCAATGGCCCCCCATCTCTGTGTCTAGAGATACTTCCTCTTTCTTTTCCAGATTGTAAACTCCTTGGAGAATTCCTAGGGAGAGATCTGTTGTTAAGATGAAGTCAGATTCCAGGAAAAGTGTGTGTCACAGAGTAAATGCTCAACAAATGATGAGTGGATTTGTGAGTGAATGAATGCTGTTTTCATGGCAGTCTTTCTTAAGACCAGTTCTGGGCCCTGCCTTGTTATGAGATGTGGATACTCCTCTGTAAGGAGCCGTGATGGCTGAGGCACAGTCCAGTTTCTTGCAGCACCAACTAGCCTGTCTGTGTACCCTCCAAGGACCCATTTTCCTAAAAGGTTTTGGTGAAAAACTCTGACCACCGGCTGTGGAAAATTCCTTTGCTAATCAGTGCAACTGAGTGTAGACACTGGGCACAGGCTTTGTAATTATAGAAAGCTGCCTTCCAGTCATGGTTCTGAAATGCTTTCCCTCTGTGTTTCTGGGCAGATTGCTAAAGCCGAGCCTCTGTTTGTCCATTTGGTACAAGGGAATAATAGTAATTCCCATTCGTATAAGGATTATAGAAGGAAATGTATGAGCAGCCTTTAGCAGGGAGTCTAGCTCTTAGTACATGTTTAAAAATAATAGCTACTATCATCGGAGAAAATGGTCACTACTGGTTGGAAACATTTCTTAATCCTTCAAGTCGAATTAGCCTCCTCTCAACTCTGGCTCCTCAGTGCCCGCTTCTTTCATAGAACATGAACTAGATGAGAAAAAAGTAACTGCTCCTAAGCCTGTCTCTCGCAACTACGCTACAGCATTCTGAGGGCAGGATTTTTCTTGAAACCCCTCGTTACTGGCAAAGAAAGTGCTAAGTAACTGAAGGATGAAAGCAAGAAGAAATATAACACAATGCCTTTGCTATAGGAGTGAATATGGAAGTTTATTTTTGCTCCCAAAGGCATATAGTTTATGCCTTTTGCTATAGGAAATAAATATAGGAATAAAAATGGGAGATAATCCATTAAAAGGTGAGTTTAGAGAGCAGTTTTTGACCTTTAATCTAAGAAATTTGAAATGGCATATTCCCTGGTTGGGGCAAGAGGGGAAGAGGGAACAGTTCTATCAATTGGCATTTCTGCAATCCACTGAAGCCCAGTTGGTCCTGGCGTGCTTCACACACAGAGAGATGTAATTTAGCAGAGGCTGACACTGGGCACTGCTCCAAGCTGGGCTAGAGAGGGCCCACTTATTACAAAGCTAAAAAAAGTAAATGAAAAACTTGCCAGAGTGTATACTCCTTTCCATATTTTTTAATAGAGTCACCAAAGGTTAACTCCTGAAATGCTTATTTATGCTTCCATGACTAGCTCTCAGTACTTTTGTCAGTGGAGCTACATACAAAAGAGTAGATGGAGGGAAAGGGTCTCGGAAACTTCATAAAATTTGTCTGCAGGGTCTTAACTTTAATATTTTTAATAACTCTAGTCTTGGGTATATTAGGAATCATCAGTTCTTTTGAGAGAAAAGAGCTGCACCGTCTTCACTGATGCAGGCTTTAAATATGCAGCTAGAGGAATAATTCACCTAAGAAACCACTCTAGGCTCTGTGCAGAAGTAAACGAGGTTTTTTTTTTCTTTAAGGCCCTTGACGGATCTGGCTTATGAATGCAGGTCTGTAATGTAGTTGTCATCAATGTTCTTTGAATTAGCATTAACTGATTGCTCCTATCATCTCAATGGCCTCACTGAAAAGCTCCTAAGGGAATTTAAACATAACACTTGTTGGAGGGATGGCAAAAAAGCAGCCCTCACCGATGAGATTTAAATTTACAACAGGAACATGGCTGGAGCCCAACTTTCAGGGGCTTGCTGGAAGAATAAGTGTTGTGAACATTTTAGTCTAAACACCAAACAAATAGTGGGCCTTTCGAATCCCCTGCCTTTTTTTGCTCGTTTTAACCCCTGGACACCAAGGTGCGACTGCCTTCCCTTCTTCAAACTTGGAATGTTGCAGAGGCAAAAGGGTGAAATCCGATCGGGGCAAGGCATTTGCTTATGGAACTCTTAAATGTCAAGGCAGGCCTGAATGAATGAGGAGCGGCTGCCCTAAAATAGGTTCCCTGAGCTGGTGGCCTGGAGTGGTCATCAGATTTAGCTTAGGGCTTCTCTCGCCAGATCGGACCCTACGTGGTGGTGACTCCCAAAAGATGGAAGCTGGGAAGGTCACACTCCAAGGCTCACTCACTCATGCCCAATCTCTACCTCGGGGCGGGGGGATGGAGGTCGGGGGTCCGGGGGGGTGGGAGCGGGTCAAGGTTTGCTGCAGGGTAGGCCCTGCCAGTTCATGTGTGGGCAAATGCCCCACGCCCCCACACGCGTCCCCCGGCCCTTCCCAGCTCGGGCAGAGAGACCCTGGCCCCGGGTCAAGCAGGCGGCAGGTCGCCAGCAGCTCGGCAAGTATTAATAGAGAGGCGCGGGAGCCTCGGGCGGCCGAGCTCAGGCAGCGCGAGCGCGTCCCCGTCCGTCCCGAGCGGTGGCTCGAGCCCAGCAGCGGCTGCGCGCACCCGCGGGTCCCCACGGGGGGCGCTGCCTCGGCAACTGCAGCCGCCGCGGCCTGGACTGCAGGAGCCGCGCCCCGGCCGCCCTGCGCGGAGCAGCGATGAGCCACCTCCCGGACCGAGAGCGCGCCCCGGACGGTAACGACTCGCGAGGTCTGACCTCCCGCTGTCGGTGGATCAGGGGCCCCGGAGGAGGGTTATTTGTTTCCCCGTCAGGCGGCTGGTGTGGGTATTAAGTCCACGTCTTCCTGGAGTTTTGCCTCCTTTCCTGCTCTTTTGGGAGTTCTCTTTAGGATGAGACAAGTTCACTTTGCTAAAGCTCACAGAACCGCGCTTGAATAGCCGTGGGCACTGGGCGGGCTTTTGAGATCAAGCGCAGAACAGGTTTCACCGCTGGGCTGCCGCGGGTATCTCTAGATACAGAGGGTGCCCCTTCCCTTTAAGAAATGATTGTGCTTTTACTTGGGAAGTGCCCGGCATCACCCCTGCACCGCCCCCCCCCCTCCACCTGTCTCCTCCACAAACAGGCGTTAAGAGAGGCCACCTCATCTTATAGTGAGTGAGCCCTCGTGTTCTTGGGGGTGGGGGACCCCGAATATTAGTTGTTTAAAGAAGGCATCATGCATCGTGCAGCAGAATTCCCCAAACCGATTTTAGATCTTGGGTATCATTTAGTTCGTCTCGTAAAATGATGGTTATATGATTCTGCGAGGGAAGAGTCTCGGGTTGCTATGAAAGGGTGATGAAATACTCTGAACTTTTTTCCCATCAGAGTTCACCTATTCACCTTTTCGCTTGTTTGCTAAAAATTTCAAACTTGATCCCTTAATTGCCTCGGTTTACCCCTAGTTCGGAACCCCTGCCCTGAAAGGTCGTCTTTACTGCTATTTGCTAGTTAGTTATTGACCTTTTAGGAAGAACGTTCCTCCAGGAATAACTCATCTTTGCATCAATAACCCTTTTGGATTGTACTGAACACTACTTAATGAAGTTGCTTTTTAAGATGAAACTCTCTGGGGGCTTGGTAAGGCAGGTGCAACAGTGTAGGGTTCCCTGCAGACCAGTCGTGAAGGGCGGGGATTTTAACACAGTCATGGGTAAGACAAGAATCACGGTGCTGCAAGAAATATTTCATTCCTCCCTTTCAGAGTCCTAGGCAGAGTTACCAGCATCGCTACCCTGGATCCTCTTTTGAAAATATTTTTTTAAGTTGCATTGTTACTGTTATTCTTACAAAACAGAAACAGACTCACAGACTTCAGGAAGGCACTGATGGTTGCCCTGGGGAAGAGTGGGAGGAAGGCATAGTGAGGGAGTTTGGGATGGACATATGCACACACATTTTAAATGGATAACCAACAGGGACCTGTTGCATAGCACAGAGAACTTTGCTCAGTGTTAGTGGCAATCTGGATGGGAGGAGAGAGTGGGGAGAAGAGATACATGTATGTGTATGGCAGAGTCCCCTTCACCTGAAACTCTCACAGCATTGTTAATCAGCTCTACTCCAATACAAAATGAAAAGTTTTGTTGTCGTTGTTGCATTATTACTGTTTTCAATAACAGTAGCATAAAAACTGTCACTTGGCTGGAACTTTTTTGTAAAATGATTACTTTCATGTGTCTAAGATCAACACACAGTGCAATCTAAGGAAGATAATTATTTAAAAAACAAATTGATACTTTAGGCTGATTTTTTAAAAAATTTCCTAATAATATAGCAAGTTTCTTTATGTGAGGGATGGACACACAGGATAGTTGTATCTGACTGCCTTAGACCTGCACGCTTTGGTTTGTTTTGTTTTGTTTGAAATCTTAATTCCTATTTTAAAGTCACAAACTCTTTAGACCTCTGATAGAAACTTTTTAAGTATCTAGTCTTCCTAAATTAAGCATATGTCCTTATAACCAGGCATGTCTGTACCTTATGAGGACTGCATTGATTGCTATATATGAGTAGTGAAGTGTAGAGTTTAACCTTAAATCTGAATTTTGGAGGATACCAAAAGGCTTTAGGCTGCTGTCAGTCCAGTTATCCTTGAGCAGGTGACAAGGTGGTAACATGTCCAGTAAAGCCTAATTGTGCCAAATGTTTGCCATGACATCTTAAAAGAGGACAGGATATGTATCTGTCAGACTTTGTAAATTTCAAAGTATGTTTGACAAGACTGTGAAAGTGATATGTGATGAGTATTTTAAATGACACACCTTGTTAAGCAGACCGTCTGGTTGAATATCTGTTACAGACTATACATTATGGAAGAACGTCATAGGGAATCCTATTACAGATAAATAATTCTTATTCCGCTCCACATGTTTTGATCCAGTTTACAGTCTGCCCATAGTACATCCCAGACAAATTTAGGCAATTAATTATAACAGATTTGAAGTTTAATTCCAGTAGAAATAAAGAATTCTTTGGACTCAACTCTATTTTCCCTTCTGGTTTGAAGTTATAAGACAAACCTCCTACATAATTTAGGTCTGCAAAGTCATAGTTTTTTTCTTATGCAGCTTTTGCTTCTTATTTTGATTCTTCACTTTTAAACTGGAAGAAAAAAAAAAGAAAAAAAAAAGAAACTGGAAGAAACTTTTAAGTTTTAATAGTAAGGGGCAGAAACCTTTTCCATTGAAAATCTGACTTTTATGGAATGTTGTAAGTCTGGTATATTGGAATAAAATTGAAACCATGATATTCAGGAACAAAATTTCTGTGTAATTTTTTTGCCTCTTGTATATTTCTTTGTTTTCTTTCTCTCTATAAACTTTTCACTTTTTATTTATTCCTTTTGATTATAATTTAAATGAAACCCACTGCAGGTAAAATTTATCACCCAGTATCTGATCCCTCCTTTGAGGTAAGAAGTGCTCATATTGAACACTTACCTGCTAGGCTGAACTACAAGCAGTAGCTTCTCTAAGCCTCATTAGCAAGGAGAACTATTATTGTCTGCTTTTATTGTAATTATAACTTTTTAAAAATAAAACTGAGGCTCTGGGAGGGTGACTGTCAGCTGTGAGTGTTCAATCCATTCCCCTAACACCTAACCCCGGGTCTATGCTGCCTCTCCTGCTGGACCACAGTGTTGAATGTCCACAGGTGGAACGCTGGCGAGACCCCTGGAAGGTGGCGCTCAGCTCACTGAAGTGACAGGAGCATTCTTCCCTTTCCCTTTGGGTGGGAAAGATGGGAGGAAACACCGTAGGTATTCAGAGATCTGGCCGTAGCAGCTCCCTCTCTCCCTCTGGCTGGGATCAGGACCTGTGCTTTGCCCCAGGGGCAGAAACCCTCTGGTTATTGGGAAAGTGGGACAGCTGTACCTTTCTGAGGCAGAGGCAGCGCCCCAAGGGACACTGTGCAGCCCTGCTCTGGAGCAGATGTGGTCGGGGTCCCACTATCTCAGGCTGCCCAAAATGGGTCCATGTTACAAGGTGGTGCCCTTGTATTCTGCAGCAACCTAAATGGGAGAAGGATTTGAAAAGAATAGATACACATATATGCATACCTGCACCACTTTGCTATACACTTGGAACTAACACAACATTGTTAATTGACTATACCCCAATATAAAATAGAATTTTTAAAAAGACAGCACCCTGGGAGCAGGTGACCTGCACTAGAGCAAAGCCGCTCTCTGTGGGGAGCTGTGGGGACAGAAGAAGAAGGATGCTCATCGAAGGTTCTGATGTGTAGTATCTCTCAACACATGATGAAGACTCTGTATCTCGGTTTCTTCATCTGTAAAATGTGGATGAGGATATCCACTAGTTCAGATTACTGTGAATATTTCCACTGACTGAATGTCTGGCAGGTAGCAGGCTCTCCATAAACCTATTATATTCAGAAAATTCGATATAGAGTTTAGAATCTGTTAGCAAAGTGCAACTTTCCAGAAAGATGGGGTTAGTGTGACATCCATTCAGCTATACAATATTAACAGACACAGTCTACCTACTGATGCAGGGAGTCTGCCAGATGTGTGATCAGCCACACACGGGGGATGTGTGTGTGTGTGTGTGTGTGTGTGTGTGCGCGCACGCATGCGCACACTTTGGATGCTGTGTCTTTGCAATTGGAGCTTTCATTTTGTGCAAAGAGTGAGGAGAAGTTAATTTATATATTAAAACAGAAAAGTGAGTTAGGAGTCCCAGTGAATCATGGGAGAGTACTTTTCAGAAAGCAGGTTGCTCCTGGAGTTACCCTCACAATTGACTTTGAAAACATTGATTCTTGCTCAGTGATTTTTCTATTGTATTGAATAAGTTCATAAATTCTGTTTAGTCTGCATTGAAACACTTCAGAGTTTTTTGTAATTGGTTACATCTCTGTTTCTTACATAAAGTCCATGAGAGCATGGACCACATCTTTCTATTTACTGAATCCCCAGCACCTAGCTTGGAGGCTTCCCTGGAAGCCCAGATGATAAAAAATCTACCTGCAATGCAGGAGACCTGGGTTCAATCCCTGGGTCTGGAAGATCCCCTGGAGGAGGAAATGGCAACCTACTCCAGTATTCTTGGCTGAAGAATCCCATGGACGGAGGAGCCTGGCAGGCTACAGTCTATGGGGTCACAGAGTCAGACACGACTAAGTGACTAACACTTTCACTTTTCACAGCACCTGGCTAAGTGCCTACAGTTTTGTAGGTACATATATTCAACATATATCTGTTGAATAAAGAAATGTGTGAGTGAATAAGAAAGTGATGGGTGGTAACAATGTGTGATTCCTGAAATACATCGTCTTTATTTTTGCATTTAAGCTTGAATTCATACTCACTTTTTCCTCCTCCAGGTTTTTTATAATTGTGAAAATTTGTAAGTATTTACATGCCAAACAATAGGGTGTTAAAAACATATAAATATTCCTTTGCTGGATGGCATAAATCAATTATGATAGGCTTTAAAATGCTATGTGATGGCATTCTGTTTTTGGAAAATCATTACCTGTTGCAAAAGGATCTAGGTGGAAAGGCAACAGAGGATTAATAGATGTTGCCTCTGAAAAGATGGGATAATAAATATTCCTTAATTCTTTTTGCTTGTTTATGTTTCTGATTCTTATGTAATGAACTTGCTTTCTTTTATAAGGAAGAAACACAATACAAGGGCTATGTACCATAAAACAATTGGGAAGT